TCTTAGGCTGAGTTCTAGTAACAGGCCAGTTCCTTTTCTGCTCAGGAGATGTAGCAGAAGGAGATGATTGTGGGAATGCAAATGAGTGCATAAGTGCATGCCTGTTCCTTTCAACAGGAAGTATATGCAGGGGCAGCTCGGCTTCAGAGAAGGGTGTGAGGGGAGCGGTGTGTGCATTGCCAGGGAAGAGGCTGCCATTTGTGCCTGAGACCCCTGTGACCAGACAGGAAGACGCAAAAGGACTGCAGCCCTTATTTTGCATTCTGGAGCAATTGGAATGCCTCAGCTCACATTCTGTACTACAGTTTACACATGTGTAATCCTACCAGGTCATTTTCTTTAGAACATTGTCACAAAGTGCCTGGGATAAAACATCCCACAATTTCAGCTTCTTAGCTTTTACACTTTTAGTAAAGCAAACATGCCTGGGACACAAAAGCACCCATAATTTCCATGGAAATAGCTGTGCAGAGTGCTTTATACCCCAAACAATCCTGCCCCCACCCCAAATAGGCGCAAAGGAAAATTCTATACAGATAAAAGCAGTGCTTTTTTTGTAAGAAAAAAGGTGCCAGAACTCATTAAATTATTTACCTTTCGCACGTAGTCAATCACTGTACACACCCCCACACACGTCAGTTGTGTAACGAAGCCTAATGGTTGCCACCCGCAGTAAGCACTCAGCGCGTGACCACACGACCAATCACAAGCTGAGCAGCACCACAAGCCAAGCAGCGCCATCACAACCAGCAGGGACGAAGTACGCATGCATCGGATTCAGCCCGCATGCAACGTTTTAATGATATTGCCGCCGACCTGCTACACTCAATGGGGCGATTCAAATCCATATGAACCAAACATCAAATTTTCAAAAGTTACTTTTAAAACTTGGAAAATCTGTCGAAAAAAAGGTGCCGGAACTCTGTTCCGGTGCATTCTATGACAAAAAAAGCACTGGATAAAAGTACTCTGCAGATAAAAGTACTTCCATAAAGCCTGAAATGTCTCATTTTAAAGGCAGAAATCTTAGAAAGAACCTCCAGCAAACAGAATTAAAATACATTGAAAGAAAGTTGGACTGTGATTGTTTTAAATTTAGTAGGCCAAGCTATTGTAAAGCAGAAAAGAAGTCAAGAGGCCTGGGGTTATTATGAGATTGTTCATGTTTTGTATAGTTTTTGGAAGGCTTAAGCCTTAAATGATCTGTCCTTGCTGATAGCTGAAAGCCTTTCTTATGTTCATTACAATACCCTAGGGGAAAATTTCAGACTGAAGAAAAGTTTTTCTTGGCTTGAGCACCTTCTCCTGGGGTAAAAAAATGACCCACAATGTGACTAAGTGCTATTTTTTGGTTACATGAAATCTCACTACTCTAGAAAAAAGATATATCAGACCATTTATTTCATCAGACAAACTTTAAGCACATTTTCCATTTCCCCACTGAGAGGACAGGGTGATGTTATGCATGTCTAACCAGAAAAAAATAATAATGGAATTCACTTGCAGATAACTGAGAATAGGATGGAAGTTTTAATTGTGCCCTAAATTGAACAGCTGTTAAAACTGCTATGCAAAAATACAGTTTCTAAGTAAATTTCACTGATATCAAGGGGCTTAGCTTCACATAAACAGGGTGTGGTTAGCTTGTACTTTAATAGATGTGGGCAAGTGACATCAGTAACCCCATTTCCTTTGGTATCTTGTGGTACAAAACCTGAACAGTCATATTTCACTTTTTTGCATTCAAAGGAGCATGGAACAATAAACATGAAAATAAAGATCAACAGGGCAGTTAAACAAGTAAAGTGACAGGAAATATTTTAACAAAAAATGTAATGTACAAGAAACTGACATTTTGGTAAGCATCAATTTTACTGACAGCAGGAATTATAATCTGCCATATTTGTTCTTGAAACACAATCCTTGGTTTGTGAGCAGTTAGCAGGGCAGAAAGAACATCAAATCTCTCTGCATTTTAAGAATTCGTTGATCCCAGCGACATGAAGAACAAAGATAAAAATGTAGATAACTCTAGATTCACCATTTATGAGTATACTATATAAATGGATTGTGATTATGAGACTTACTGAGAATAGTCTCTGGGAATGTGAGATTTTCCACAGGACTTAAACCAATACATGGAGTTGTGTCAGGAGCTTTGAAATATCAACAATTTGGCCCATGTTAAGAAGAACTGCAGTGTCTAAGTTAAGGCAGCAGGGCAAGACTCCATAGCTTAGAACAGTGATGGCGAACCTTTTAGAGACTGAGTGCCCAAACGGCAACCCAAAACCCATTTATTTATCACAAAGTGCTACAATAAAACCTGAAAACGGCCAATCCAAGCAAATATATACATATATATCCTTGGCAGTGCACTGACCAGCCATGCGAAAACTTGGATGAGTTGTAGCTTCTGTGTTGCGGCTTGTGGAGTCATTGCCTGGCACCACAAATCCTTTCTGAGAGTGTGCATGGCCCATATGTGCGCTGTTATCCGATGCTCGGCTGCTGGGGTGATGCTGGGGCGACTTGGCTCATGTGCCAACAGAGAGGGCTCTGCATGCCTGCTGTGGCACATGTGCCATAGGTTCGCCACCCCTGGCCTAGCATCTTTACAGAGGTTTCGGGGCTCAAATGTATTCCAAGCTCTGGGGGCTGATGAAGAAAGCAGCGAAATAGAAGGGGCCTATGAGGCTCCCCAACTTGCTAATACAGCCTTCCCCAACTGCATTCCACTGTTCCTGTTTCCCTTGATTCTCCACTCTTCCTTCTTAGATCAGCCTGCAAATGGTCTTCTTGCAATCTCTGCATCATTCTTGTAAGGAAATATCTGCATTAGCTCGGTGATGGAGGCTGCATGGGCACAAATGGATTGCTCTGTGCTGTGCCCCAGACGAGCCTCTGCTGAGCCTGCATATGGATGTGATGGTGGTGCCTGCACAAAATCTTCATGTGCTCAAGAGAGACGACTTCACAGCATCTCTACATTTTCTTGCATGGAGTTTGCTCAATAAGTCTCTGGCAATAGGTGGACACAAATAGGTACAATAATAATGTTAAGTCATGGTGGTTTGGAGGTGGGGGATTATAAACTATCCCAACTTAGCTTGGGTTGCAGTTGGGTTTAATAAACGCACCATGGCTTATTGTGTTGTGCAAATCCATGGTCAAGTTAAAACAAAAACAAAAACAGAAAGCACCAGAGAGCCACTTGGCAAGAGTAGCAAAAGTGCTTGCCACTCTAGCCAATGGACTACTGAATTACTGTCTTCCCAGGCACCCTGAAGAGCCAAAACATCACTTGGAGACAGCTGGGAAAGCCTTCCTCCCTAGCTGCCAGCAGTGGGGGCACTTCAAAATACGGGGAAACTCCTGTGCGGGGAAGCAGGCTTGTTCCTTTAAATCACAAGCCTTGTGCCATCTCCACTAGGCTTTCCCTCAGGTTTTGCCTCTTCCTGAGGTGCTCCCTACTTGGAGTACACTTTAAAACTGAGGGGACTGTTGTGGTTTCCTAGCATCTGCCCCAACCCCCTGGGGAATCCTGCTTGGGATTGGGGAGAATTGACAGGGTGTTCCCGAAGCACGCTTTTTAAAGGATCTTGGCATTTTTTTTATTTTTTTTTTTGCAGGGGGGTCCTTTTCCTTCTGTGTTATCCAGATTTGGGAAAATGAGGGCAGCCTAGAGCCACATGACGGACCCCCCCCCCCCACAAAACCTGAGGATTCTGGTACAAAGGGTGCTTTCCTGACACACGTCCTTTTGAACAATAGTTTAACATAGTGGTGGGTTACCAAAGCTGCAATTTGGCATGTCCACCCGGAAAAGTGTCCATGCCAAGTTGCACCTGTGTAGCCCACTGCTACCATGTTGTTCAGAAATCTTTGCTGAAGGTGGGCTGAGTGGAAAGCAGCACCCTTTGTAGCCGAATCCTCAGGGGTCTGTTGTGGGGTGGTAGTGCTGTTCCCCTGGTCCTGTGCTGCTCTCACCAGCCTAAGTGAGCATAACACAGAGGCACTTTAAGAAGTCCAGCCGCAGCTAGCCCAAGATGGCTTGCCAGGGCTCCGGAGAAATGCCAGTGCTCATGCAGTGTTCTCTGGGATACCATGGAAAGGAGAAGGGGACAAACAACCCCTACAGCATTCTCTCGTACCATTTTCTCTTTAAAGATTTTGAAACTCTTCCTCATTTCCTTTTCCTAGACAAAGGTAAACCACTTGGAAAAGAACCAGTGGAGCAGCTTGCTGGCATGAGCTACCCTGTTCTGTACACACTCTCCATTGTATAAGCATTTATGAAGAAGCACACTGCAATGAAGTCAATGGGAATTATGTCTGAGTGGACACAGTAGGTAACACTATAAGAAACTAGCTGGCAAACCGGAAACCTAACAAATTACTTTTTCCTGTTTTAATTTTAGTTTGCACTTACTCTGAATACCTATTTCAGGAGAAGAGATTTTGCAAGACTTTGTGTTTCTCTATCTCTCTGAAAGGATGACTTTATCCAGCCATACTTACTCACTTTTAAGTTTTCAGGGAAGGAATTTTGGTTGCAACTCTATGTTCATTTACTGGAAGGTAAGAGGGACTTACTGTTGTGCAAACATAAATTGGATTGAGCTGTTAAGCACCTTAACTTTGCCACTGGAATCAATGAGATTAAAATGTTGCATTTTGACAGCTTATTTCCCTGGAAATGGCCAAAGGTCCAGCTGCTAGAGGAGAAAAAATGAAACTACAATTATTTTATTTTTGTATGTGGCAAGCATAATTATGCCTAACAGCTGAACAGTAAGGAAAAAGACACTGAGGTTGCTTCCATCCCGTACCAAAAATCATAATATGTAAAACATCTGAAAGTAAGGAAACAAGAACTGCAAATGGCGTTTTTCATAGCTTTGATCTTTTTGGGGGGGGGGGGTAAAATAAGGCAAAATATCCCTTTCTGTTTAATCTTTCTTTTATTACAAAATTACTGTAAATCGATAAGAACCAAATTATTCACATTGAGACTTGAACACTCTCTTCAAAGCATCTTTTACCTCTTTGTTTCTAAAGCTGTAGATGAATGGGTTCAGCATTGGAACCACCAGGGTGTAAAAGACAGCCGAGATCTTCTCTTGGTCCTGTGAGTACATGGAACTGGGTAGCAGGTGACTTAAGCTCACTGTCCCATAGAACAAGGTGACCACTGCCAGGTGGGATGCACAGGTGGAGAAGGCTTTGTACCTGCCCTGAGAAGAGTGGATCTTGATGACAGAGGAGAGGATGCACAGATAGGAGATTATGATGATCAGAAGTGTAGAAAGAGCAATTATCCCAGAGAGGGTAACCAACACCAGCTCATTGACATGGTTATTAGAGCATGTGGCCTTCAGCAGAGCTGGGGTATCACAGAAAAAGTGGTTGATGATGCTAGGGGCACAGAATGAGAGCCTCAATAAGCCGGCTGTGTGCGTGAGTGAGTTCAGTAGCCCACCAAGGTATGACCCTGCTATTAGGTGAATGCAGACTCTTTTGGTCATGACAGCCGTGTACAGCAATGGATTACAAATGGCCATGTAGCGATCATAGGCCATTGTGGCTAGCAAGAAGCCTTCAGCAGACACAAACACGACAAAAAAGTAGTGTTGGGTGAGGCATCCTGCGTAAGAAATGGATTTCAACTGGGCTAAGCTCAGCAAGAGCCTTGGGGCAAAGATGGAAGAATAGCAGAGATCCATCACGGACAGATTGCAGAGGAAGAAGTACATAGGGTTGTACAGTCGGGGACTGATCCTGATCAGTACAAGCATCCCCATATTCCCAGCCAATGTCAGAAGATAGATCAGGAGGAATATCACAAAGAGTGGGATGTGGAGCTCCAGCCGGTCTGTTAGTCCAAGAAGGATGAATTCAGTTGCCATTGTGTAATTGTTCACAGCCATTTAGTTGTGATGACATGATACCAAACCTGGTGAACTGAATGAAAGCGTGTGTAAGTCAGACTAACACTGGAGACATGTCCCTCTTGGAGGAAGACAAACAGTCAGCAGCATGATTTGAATCCAGGCAAGGAAGGAGCCACAGCTGTCTGATTGACAGGGCTTCAGTTGTGTGTGTGGCAGTTTTACCTGAATATTTTGGATGCCCTCAGCCAGTCTGGTGTGAGCAGAGGGCATGTCCAGCACTGCCTTGATCATGGAAAGCACAGATCTTTCTCTCCTCCCCATCCTTCCTGCAGCCTCCTATTGTCCCTTGGAAAGCCATTCCCAAGGATTGGGGCAGCCAATTGAATGCCATGGGCTGTGACTTAGGGGGCTGCAGAGGGAGATGGAAATTTACTGAAAGCAGGAAGTGGAAACTTGCACTACTTGTGAGAGTTTCCTGATTGTGGCTCTTTGCTCCTTCCATTGAAAGCTTTTTCAGAATGGGGGGGTGGGGGGGAGATTTGTTGGGCAAACCATTGGGTAAACCATTACAATGGTGGATGTCATATGGAGAGTTTTTGAAGTGAAAGTTGGGCTGTCTCTGAAGAATTGGGGCCATTGCATTTCCAATTGTTCCTGGGGAAAAACAGAAGATCAACTGAATGTTTTTGACTGCAGTGGCTAATAACACTGTTACCAACTTAAGCCAAAGCATGGAATAAAATATTAATCACTCCATTAATTCTTCAGAGATTCATCTCAGTAGAGATATGATTGAAATTTCTTAACTCCTTTTAGATCTATGTCCTTCATTGTACATTGATTATGTAACATTTTTTGGACAACTTTTTCTTTCTGATTTACAGAACTGGTACAGATTCAAGGCTGGGGGCATATGCTGTGCTAATTGTTCATTTGTATGCTAATGAGAATTCATTGCAATATATATCATGATTCCAATCTCAGCAAGTTTCTATTTTCCTCATCAAAATGTGTGTAGAACTGGGCAGTAGCTCCAGCTGTGGGCTTGAACAATTTTGCCTTCGCACTTGGAACTCCTGAGCTTCTTTATGCCCCAAACAGTATCTGATCTGTTGCAGCTGACCACATTTGGAGGGCAACAAGTTGGGGAAACCTGATTAATTGACATTTTCCTGCCTCTCCTCCTTATTTCCTTATCTGGTAAATGTAAATTATTGTGATTCACCTCAAAGAGATGGTAAACAATATAGAATGTAGAACAAGATGCCCTATAAAGGCAAGAGAACAACATCAAAAGCAGCATCTCTACTTTTAAAAAGTGCTCTCCTTTGTTTTTTGTTTCCTGAATTGGTTTATCCAATTTCTGTTGGGCAGAAGTGCATATTATGAGGACCACACGGGTTACCCAGCTGCTGTTTTCCTTCTGCTGGAAGTGGAGGCTTCTGCAGGGAGTAATTGGCAGGAGGTGGATAAGACGTATATGGAAACAGCAGCCCTTAACTTCTCCTCCCCGGCTCCACCAAGCCAGGCTACAAGAGTAGAAATTACTCCAAATGTCGTGGAGGACATTTGGTGGGCATTTGGAAGAGAAAGTTGGTGGGATGGTCAGGAATCCCCCTGCCTGCTAATATTCCTACCCCATTGGTATTATTGTTGTAACATGCTGGAAGCTGCCTTGGAAGGGGCAACCCTGCAAAAAGAAATTGTTAAATAAAATGTCATTAATTCAGCAAATGAGTCTATGCGAATTTACTTTTGCTGAAATTATATAACTATGCTTTTCATTGCTAATGTTATGTGCCATATAGGTAATGCAAAACAGAAAATGATCCAAGAATTACTGTCCACATGTCTGTATTCTGAAGTACCTTGAAGCATGCAGGGCAACCTGGGGAATGGGAGAAGGCAGAATACCGTTACCTTTAGTCTGGAGTGCACACATCACATCATGAAGTAGTTTTATATGGGAGCAGTGGGATGGTGGCAACTTCGTTGATTTATGATGGGAGAGGGAAGATTTATTTAAGAGACATGACATAATGAGATCTCTGCAGCAATTCCATTCTCAGAGTCTCAAAGGAGACGGCTACAAATGCCCTTGCAGGAGCTTTGAAAAAACTGGATTATTTCTAGAGTTCATTAATAACATAGAAAGCAACTCTCCAGTACTGGGGGAAGAGCATCCCAGGGAATATAGGATTGTTCAGAGAAAAATATTCATAAAATGGGCATTTTCAAACCCCCACAATGGGCATATTTATTTCAGCCCCATTTTTGGCTCAAGGTTAAGGTGCAGGTTTGGGGTGGTGTTACAAAAACCTGGATCCCCATCAAGTTTTTTCATCATGGAATAGATGCCAAATAGAAAGAATGAACTGCTCAGAAAAACACCCACAATGCTGGCATTTTCAGAATCTCCCTACTGGAATGTGCAGTTCAGTACTATATTAGGGGTAGTGTTTGTTTGTTTGTTTATACATGTACATACTAGTATTTATAGGCCACCTATAACTGCCAAGGCCTTTCTAGTGTTAAAGTCCAGGTTATGGACAGAGTTAAAGGAACCAGGGTCCCCATCAGATTTTGTTTTCTTCAAATGGGTGTCGAATGGGCAAAAAGAATGAACTGTGCAGAAAAATATCCAGAATGCTGACACTTTCAAAGTCTACCTACTGGCACATTTATTTCAGTGCTATATTAGGGTTAGGGTTAAGGTGGAGGGTTGGGGTAGTGCTACAGAAACCAGGGACCCTATCAAGGGTTTTTTTGTTTTTGTTTTGGAATGGGTGTCCAATAGTCAGAAAGAATGAGCTGTGTCATAAAAAATCCACAAAGCTGGCATTTTCAAAATCTATTTACTGCTATGTGCATGTATTGTGGATATTTTTCGGTACAGCCCATCCATGCTGCTGATTCAAGAGCCATTCCAAGTGGAAAAAATTGATGGGCCCACTGGTTCTGTAACTGTACCCCAGAGTAGCGCCTCAGCCCTATCATAATAGAGGGCTGAAATACACATGCCAGTAGGGGAATGTTGCTAATGCCAGCTTTATGGCTATTTTTCTGCATAGCTCATCTGTTCTGCCCATTCTACTCCATGTTAACCTTGACCCTTAATTAGGGCTGAAATAAGGTAGGGGGATTTTGGGAATGCCAGGTTTTTGAATATTTTTCTGCACAGGACATCCTATCTGCCCATTCAGCGACCTTTCATAGACCAAAAACGTGAAATGGACCCTGGCTTTTGTACTCCCAGTCCTAACCCGGACACTAACAGTTACCTTGATATAGGAGTGAAATACATGAGACAGTAATGGGATTTTGAAAATGTCAACTTTGCAGAGTTTTTCTGCAAAGCTCTTTGGTTTTTCCCATTCTACACCCATGTCTCAAAAGCTTGATGGGGAGCCTGGTTTATGCAACTGTTTTTCAGGATGGTTTATGACTTTCGACTATTCTGCACCCATTCCGACCTTCAAAAGCTTGATCCATAAATATCAGCATTTGGTTTAGGGTAACACTAACCCAAATTTGACCCCAACCCTATTGTATGGAGTTATTATGCAAGCCACCACGGAGATACTGAAAATGCCAGCTTCGAGATGTTTTTCGACAGAGCTTGTCCATTTTGCCCAAACACATTCTAATGGTAAAAAGATTGAAAGAGACCCTGGTTTGTGTAAATCTAAACCTAACCTGAACCATGACCACAATCCAAATGTATGTGCTAATGCACATGCCCCTATGGGGATTCTGAAAATGGCAATTATGTGGATGTTTCTCAGCAGGGTTCATCCTTTTGGCCCATTCGAAACCCAATCCACTGGTAAAATGCTTGACAGGGAGCCTTGTTTCTGAAACACTGACCCAAACCTGGGCCTTGGTCCTAACCCTAATACACATGGACATATGGGAATTCTGAAAATGCCTGTTGCTGGCATGTCTATTTTAGCCCCATATTGTGTGTAAGGTTAAGGTCTAGGCTACAGTTAGGGATGTAGAAGGCAGGATCCCCCTCAAACATTTTTGAGTTGGAATGTGCATACAATGGGCTGAATGGTTGAGATTGTGATTTTAATCGGCTTTCTATTGTAGAGAATGGATGCTGTGGTTTACCTTGTTTTATTGTAAGGCCATCCTGAGACTATATGGTAGAGGACAGTATACAAAAGTTTTAAATAAATAAACAAACATAAATGGTTTAGCTGCCCATGAAAACATCCAAAAGCTGGCCTTTTCAAAATATGCTGACTGGCATATCTATCTTAGTCCTATAGTAAGTTTATGGTTATGGTCCAGGTTATGGTTAGGGCTGTAGAAATCTGCGTCATTTTCATGATTTTAAGGTTTTGAGTGGATTTAGATTGGATTGAATGGATGAACTTCTAAAACGCCAGCATTTTCATAATCCCCATAGGTTCATTTGCATTAAAGTCTTACATTAGGGTTAGGATTAAGGTCCTAGTTCGGTTTAGGGTTGCAGTAACCAGGGTCAATGTCAAGCTTTTAACTGTGGGAATGGGTTTACAATGGGCAAAATGAATTAGTAATACAGAAATGTACCCACAAAGTTTGCATTTTCAAGCAGATCCATCTACTGGTGTATCTATATTAACCCTATATTAGGCTTAGAGTTATGGTCCAGGTTAGGTTTGGGGTTGTGGAAAGCAGGGTCATTGTCAAGGTTTTTTTGAGTTGGAGTGGGTTTATATTGGGCCAAATAGATGTGTTGTGCAGAAAAATTTCCATGAAGTTGGCATTCGCATTATCCCCTTACTGGCATGTGTATTATATTCCTATATTGGGATTAGGGTTAAGGTCCAGGTTAGGGTTATGGGTACAGAAAACAGGGACTCCATCAATTGTTTTTTGGTTAGGAATGTTTGTAGAATGGGCAGAACAGATGAGCTGTGCTAAAAATCATCCACAAAGCTGGCTTTTCCAGAATCCTCATCCTGGCATGTGTTTTTCAGCTTAGCAATAGGGTTATTGGGTTTGGGTAGGGTTATAGAAACCAGTTTTCCCATCAGGTTTTTTCACCTTGGACTGCATCTTAAGTGGGCTGAAAGAATGAACCATGCAGAAAAACATGCAGAAAGATGGCTTTTTCAATAATTATGATAAATAAAAGTAACTTGCCCTTTGCCCTTTCCTCTACTCAGGTACCACTAATTTTTTTATCGCTTGGTCAAGCCTTCTACTCATGAAAGGATTGTGAGTTCTGCCAAGCTCTGTCCCTAGGATTGTGACCTCTTGTGTTTTAACAGTAGTGTGAGCTGCAGAAATTGACAGCTGTTATTCTCTGAGAGATGGTTGCTGCAGATTAAATGAAGCCATATATATGGGTTGAGGGTTAGTTCAAATGTTGGTGCAGCAGTCCTATCTTGTCAAGTATATACTCATAGCTGCAAGTGAAAAACAAGGTCCCATGAAGCAGGCCAAGCAAGAGAGTCAGTCGAGCGAGGTGCCATCTTTGTTCTTTTGACAACTGTACAATGAAGACTCAATTATATTTTTTAAATCATTTATCTTAATATTAATTTACCACCCCATTCCCACGGGCTCTGGCTGATTTACAAGAAATTAAAGCTACAGTGAGTAGTATTGATTAATAAATATATTCGATGAAACAGACATGTGAACTAACCTGGGAAGGCCTGTTGGAAGAGATACATTTTAAAATCCCTCTTAAAGGTGGGAATTTGGGAAATCAGATGCATCTTCCCTGAAGAACATTGCACAGCTTAGGAGCAACCACCGAAAAAGTCCTCTGGGTAGTTGACATTAATCTTACAGAAGCAGACCTCAGGAGATTATCCCCAGAGGACTTTAGCAGGTGAGGTGGAATGTATGATCAAAGGTACTCCTGAAGGTATTGCAACACTCTAAGGTAGTGCCCAGGGCAATGGCACATGGAGACAAGCAGAGCAAAGGGCAGCAGGAACCTTGCAGATGAACAAAGATTTGGAGCATCTGAGTTCGGTCTGTTTGAGTCTTGTCCAAATGTGCTCATTATGTCTGCCAAAACTTTTGTCTAAAATTAAGTTATTCCTCCAAAGAGAAATATATATGAAAGACTGTCTCCTTCTACATGGTAGCTACACTCATACTGTGGCTTGTCAAATGTCTCCACCCTTCCTTTGCCAGATCTTTATCTATCAGGAAGGTGAAGAGGAGATATTGGGAGCTTTCTTAGAATGTTATGAGGGTCTGAGAGGTGGTTCTCACTCCCTTGAGTTACTTCCTTAAATGAAGCCAGGACAGTACTTCGCCAAGGAGCTTCTCCAACATTGTCTGGCAGCCTCATCACCACTGGAATGAGTTTTGCAAATGAGGGTCAGACATGCCCCTAGCACCAGTGATGCGTTATTTGTTTTTCGGCGCCAGGTGAAGACCTTTTTATTTAAACGTCATTTTAATTGTTAACAATATTTACTTATTTATCTGGCCAGGGCAACTTCTTTTCTTTTCTTTTATAACTTTTCTTTCATAACTTCTTTTATATCGTTTATATTTTTTATTTATTTTATATTATTAATTTTAATTTTATATTGTTATTTTTATATTGTATTGTATTTTATTGTGTTGTAAGCCGCCCCCGAGGCTTCGGCAAGGGGCAGCATAGAAATGTTCTAATAATAATAATAATAATAATAATAATAATAATAATAATAATAATAATGCCTCTGTCTCTGCCTGTGCCAAACTAATGGTACATAAGACACAGATATCACAGGGAAAGCCTATGAATTTTGTGATGGGTGGGAGTAAAATTGACTTGCTATGATATTAGTATTCTATTGCTATAGATCAACACCAACATTTTGAAAAGTCTTTGAGTATGTTCCATTGATATATGTCTTTGCTATGTTTAGTAACTTACTCAACAGATTTACTGAGAAAGCACTTTTCTCCCAATCACTTTCCTCAGAGCAGACTTTACATCCGTGTTCCTTAGGCTGTAGATAAGAGGATTCAACATAGGTATAATCACCGTGTAAAACACAGAGGCCATTTTGTCCGTGCCGAGTGAGTAGCTAGCACTGGGCCTAAGTACATGAAGAGAATGGTCCCGTGGAAGATGGCCACTGCCATGAGATGGGAGGCACACGTGGAAAATGCTTTATGCCTCCCCTCAGCGAGTGAATCCTTAGTACGGCTAAAATAATGAATACGTAAGAGATGAGGATGATCAGCAAGATGCTCATTTCAAACAAGCTGCCAAATATGAATACCAGTATTTCGTTTATGTAGATATCATTGCAAGCCAATTTCAGGAGTGGTGTAAGGTCACAGAAAAAGTGATTGATAATGTTGGGACCACAGAAGGACAATCTCAACAGTCCACTGGTGTGAATCAGAGAGTTCAAAATACCCCAGAGGTATGAGTCCACTATCAAACCTGTGCAAAGCCTCCTAGTCATAACAGAAATGTAGAGCAAAGGATTACAAATGGCCATGTACCGATCATATGCCATAGCAGCCAATAGGAAGAACTCAGTGGTGGCAAAGATGGCAAAGAAGCAATATTGTGCTATGCAGTCAGCATAAGAGATGGCTTTGTGGTCCACGAACAAGTTCACCAGCATGTTAGGTGTGATGGTGGTGGAATAGCAGGCATCTAAGAAGGACAGGCCACTGAGGAAATAGTACATTGGGCAATGCAGTTGGGAATCCATCCAAATTAAAATTATCATCCCAAGATTGCCCACCAGAGTGATAAAATAGATGACTAGAAACACCAGAAAGAGTGGAACCTGTATCTCCTGATTTTCTGTTAGTCCAGGAAGAATGAAGTTGGTCATCACTGTGTAATTTGCTGTAGCCATTTGACTCATTCCCTCTTTCCTGTGGGTAGAAACAATTTGTAAAACAATGATACAAACAGGGCATTATGGAATGTGGCTCAGCAGAGTTAATACCATCTCTTTCAGTATCCTTTCCTTTAGCCTGTATGGTTGAACTGCGTGAGACTGGGAACTGTGGTGTCCATTGGACATTTACTTGATATCTCTTTGATGCTGGACTGAATGTGTACTTTTCATCTGAGCAGCTCGATCATTTCATCTCATTTTTTAAAAAAAATCCCTAATGCTGCTAATTTTATGATCTCAAAGTTCATTCTCTTTCTGACAAAGAGACGAAGAGGCAAATTTGATGAAACTTATGATACAGATATGAATTGATTTGGATATGAATTGAACACATTAAGGGATCATTAAAGAGGTACTGATCCAACAGTTCCAAGGCAAGGAAACATATATTATCTGAAATAAGAGAAAAGATTCATTGGTTCCAGATTGTGAAGAGAAGAACTGAATTTGTTCTTCCTTAGGTCTGAAAGTTCAAATGACATTGTATGTTTCATTCTTAGCAAAGCCATAGCTTTAGTTCCTTGTTGAGGCTATCATGTAATTAAAGCTAGGTTTAAATGACTACAGTTATGTGAGTAATAGATCTGGTCACAAGTAAGTTGTTTCTTGAGTAAGTTCTTAATTGAAGATGTTCTTCTATGGCCCCTGATCCCTCCAACCCTCTCTGCTGGTGGAGTGGAAGGCTCATCAGATCCCACAGCCTTGGTTGGTGGCTGAGCTTTCTGGCAAAAGGATCTGTTCTGGAGGGATGTCAAGGCAGATGGAAAAACTCCTTCCTGGGACATGTTCTGGAATGGCTGGAGTGCGTAAGCTACACTAGCTCTGAAACTGGATCTGTTATTTTCTGTTCCACTGAAACCAATAGGAGAAATAAGCACAAGAAAAAATCAGCACTGTCAAAAAGATTTTAGAAAGATTCCTCTGCCCCACTTGCACATCTTCTGCAGTGGAGAGCTCAAGCCCCACAATATTTTAATACCACAGACTTCTCCTCCCTCGTCCCTGAAGTATTGCTGTGCTGTGCTGAAAACTTAACTTTGCTCTGCTACACAATTAAGAATAGATTCAGGCAAAAATATTGTCCCAGAATAATTTTCTACCAGGAGTTTCTTTTATCAAGCAAAATAGTTCCAGGAAGGGATGGGTGAGGGGTTTTTTTCAGTTTGTTTTTCATAAGAATTTACCAAAATTAACACAATTCTTCATCTGTCTTTCTCTCTAGCTTTCATCTAGCTAACTCTAATGTGAATGTGAATGAAATGGAAACACAGATTTGCAGTTTTAGGTCCATCATTCTGAGAGTTCAGCTTTTAAAAATCTGATATTCCTGTGCATCCAGCCATGGTAGTGCTGAATTTAGATTGCCATCTCCCTCCCACTCTCTCTTACTCAAGTTTTACAGCTATTTGGCAGGTAAGTATAATATAAGAACTTTGGATCAATAAGAACTTTGCTTTATTTCCATTTTGATAAGAATTTTGTTACCAAACGTTACCATAATTTACCAAAATTATAAGAATTCTTCATTAATGAAAGAACTTGAGATTTTCTTTTAAAGAATGCTAGAGAAAATAGAACTGCTAAGTTTGTACATCACTAGTTTGTACATGAAGTAAGTATCTTCATGCTGAATGGAGGGTGAATGTAAGAGGAGCTATTTAATCCTTTGCTCATCAGTTACTTTTTCACTCATAGCTCCCTTCCATTGTTGGTTTTCTTTATGAGAAATGATAGATCTCTGAGAAATCAGCCTTGATTGTTGCAAGTAAAGTTCTTAGGTGAGCCTAATGTGAGGGTTGAGTTACAGCCTGAAATTGCTGTTAGTGATTCCGATGGATCATTGCATTATATAATAATGGCTATTTTTGGACAAGCAACTTGGTTAGCCATTCCATCACTGAATGGGTGTGAGAGCCACTGAGGCTGTAGCACCATTGAAACTAAGCAGGCATGAAGCTCATCAGGATGAAAAGCCATTCAGGGGCACCAGAAAAACAGCTCTCAAGTTTTCTAAATAGGAAGTGTAGCATTGGGAGCCAGTGTGGTGCAGCAGTTAGATCAATGGACTGGGGACCCAGGAGGTCTTGGTTCTAGACCCTACTCAGCCATGAAAGTTTACTGGGTGACTTTGGGACAGTCATGAACTCATGGCCTTCTCTTCCTCACAGGATTGTTATGAGGATGAAATGGAGAGGAGAATCATGTAAATTACTTTGGGTTCTGTACAAGAAGAAAAATGGAAGGATATAAATACAATAATAAATAAATATAACAAATGGTTGTGTCAGCAGTGCATCACAGAGAAACCCTGTTGATCTGTGCAAACTCTCACTCCCCCAAACTACAATATAGATGGCTAGGCTGTTGCAAGCCTATAGATAATGATTTGCCATTAGATACACACATGCTAACAGTGATAGCTCAAGACACATGAAATTCATATAGCAGTGTTCATAAAGTATGAATGCTTGAGGAAATTGAAGGCTATATACCCTCTTTGTCATTTATTCTTGAGCTGAGGTGGGCAACGCCAGGAATTTTCTCTCAGATTACCTTAACAATTTACCTTGCACTGTTTGAGGGGAAAGCACCTTGTCCTGAAGAATGTGAGATCTGGACTGGCTGCACTGTTCGAGACCCAGAAAGTCTGAGCAAGCCAGCCACCACCAACTGCCATTGAGTGTTGCTTGTCAAGTGCTGGAACAACCCCCTATTTTAAAAGTCCCATGCAAGCAGTGAACATACATTCTTGACCAGTCCAGTGGGCAGCCATACATGTTTGATGGTTGTAATTTGGCTTGGTTGGTCAAATGCTGTGCTTTCCTGATAAAGCATTCAGATGTGGGCAGATGGTAGCTCTCCAGATGTCCAAGCTTCCAGAAGTCCCTGCCAATATAGCCAATGGTTTAGAATGCTGGGAAGTGAAACTGGAAACCTCTAGTAAAATGCCTGCCTACCTCCTGACTGAGTGGATCTGTTGTACTTCTCAAATATATCATTGGTGAATTGCCAGAAAAGAGCTGTGAATAAGATTGACCAGTTTAACTCATTCTCATGTATGTTTAGATTACCTGGGCTACACAGAACATTGAGCTAACCCAAAGAGAGCTAAGTCTCAGAGAAAAACTTTAATGCTAGTAAACATACTTTTAAGAAGGAAGAAACACGTCCAATAGCTTCAAAACTTGATCATGAAGTGAAGCTGCTTTATATCCAGAGAGCTTCATGAAATTTTCATAAACATCCCTAATGCATCAAGAGGGCAATTAAATTTCCTCCCAGTGGTATATTTGAAATTGGTAATGGGTAAAATTGATCTCAGATAATAATTTGCATATTCTATTCATTGCATTTTCTGCATTATTCCATTTTACAAGGCACTGAAATCAATGAGACTTAAATTAGCCATGATGAGCTTAAATCTGATTGATTTCTATTGGTCCACTCCAGTCACCACTAAGTCTGAATCTAACCCAATAACTTATTATACCTTATATAGGCCCTGCCCACCACCAACTGGAATGCAGTGAACAGAATCTGGATGTAATTATGAACCTAATCACATTCATTTCAATTCAAACAATATTTAGTGGCATCCACACCCATCTGTTTAGTTGTTATTTTGCTGAATGGTCTTTTGGAACAAGGTCAAATGCAGCTGAAACTGCATTTCTGGGTGAAGTGCAGGAGGGTGAAGGAAGCACTGAGCAATGTTTGCTTATTCTGATAGATATACATATGCAAGCTTGGCGCCAAAGTGGTGCTAGGAACAACAGTGTGCAGAGCAGTAGAATCTGATTCAAATTAGTTTGATTTCTATGAATATGATTTACATTTTTGACAGGGGTCCAGCTTTTCCAAGTGGACTTACAAACACTTTTTTTCATGTATGGTGGTGGAGGGGAAATTATGTTCTAGTTTGTCCATCTGACTGTCCGTCCTTCCTTCCTTCCTAATGGGGTGGACTGGTGGGCCACCCCATTAGCCATAGGCAATCTGGGTGGCTCACAACATGCTAAACAACATTTTAACAATACAATTCATTCATAACAATCACAATATAAAATTAACCAATAAGGTAACAATAAAATAAAAAAGAAAGGGATAAAACTAAACACTTGATATTTATCTGCCTAATAACACAGATAAAAGTGTTCATGCTTAAAAGTATTAGCTCTGGTGTGCATTAGTGTTAACTAAGGCTGTATTTTTTTTCAATCCGTTCTTTCTGCATTCTGTGGATTGTGAGACTCCATTCATTCCATTGTCTGCTCATTGATGGGAACAGATTTCTTCCATTTCCCAAACTTGTTTTCATGTGGACTTCCATAAATTTGCACTTCTGAAAGTGTGTGAATTTCCCCAAAATGTACAAATCATCCAATTTTTATGTTTCAGCCTATGGAGATACAGTTTTGGTCATTTGAATTTTAAAAACATTCTTCTATGATTAAATTTGTAGAAAATCTTCAAATATACAGAATCGGTGTGATGCCGGAAAAGCTGGTTTGCTACAGAATCACTGCAGATTTGTAGAAATCTAACTCATTTGAATCCATTGAAGATTCCTCTGTCATACTTAATGCAAATACTTTCCCCAAAAAGAAACAAACATTTTCCTTCTCTTGCCTCTGTAGCTATAAGAAGGATTTAATTTTATTTACTTATTTTACTGTATTTTTATGCCCCCACTAGCCCAATGGGCTGTCTGGGTGGCTTACAATAAATCAGGAAAAGGAACAAGGGATAATAGGGACAGGGATAATAATGCTGATGCCACATGTATGCCATTTCCTAAACATCTCCTCTTCACGTGCCTTTATGTCAGTGTGTATGCCATTCACTCCGATTCACTTCATAACTTATGTACTTCTGTTGCCAGGGACAACACGTGCTCTTCTAGTCTTGATGCTAAGGCTGCAACCCTCCAGCCCTCTCTTGGAAATAACTCCCAT